ATAGTCCTCAAGAGAGAATTGCCTCAATAGTACTCATTTACGTATTTTATCCTAATTGGTTTTCACTGCCGTGACATTTGTGTACCCACATATTGTTGTATCTATTTTTTTAAGAAATAATACAAGACGATATGTTTCAAAACAAGTCTTACAGCATTCGAAACAGATACAGATGTTAGTTTTTAACTCGTAGGAAAAGTATGATTTTATTATGATTACTTCTTTAATTACAGAATTAAGGTTTATTGTTCTTTTCTATGTTGAATTTATCATTGAGGTTTATTATTTAACTGTTCTCTAGCTATCGGATAATCTCTTGCCATAGTTCGCGCTGCGTTGCCATAACATTTACACAATAATGTCAAACCATTATGTTTCTTAGTCTAATCAAGAATTTAAAAATCTTAACCTGGTAGCTTCCATCTTTATTACATCAATCTCATGCACACCAAGAATTTAGTTCCATATTTTTCCGTAATAAAGCGAGGATTTTATTATTTTATTTTTTCAAGTCAGGTTATATATAAAACTTACACTAGTTTATGTGATGCAACTGCATATTAAAATCTTAAGGGCGCCATCTGATCCCTCTCAATAAATGGAATTTTCACATACAGCGCTGGCAACCTCCCAGCGCGCCTGACAGAAGGGTACCTTTATCAGAGTGAAATAAGTATTTTGTAAAACACAAGGGTGAATTTAAAATAAAACAATAACCAGAAGTTATCAATGTTTATTAAATTATCATGATTATGACAAAACTAACATCAAACAATTTTCAAAATGTAAAACCTTTTAAAGATCTTTCAATGTCTACTTAGATTAACTTTCACTATTACTTTTTTACAATACTCTTCTCCCTAACTATAATAAGAAAAAAACCTGTTTGTGTGTACCATCAACCGTTTTGCAATACAGCAAAACAAATATTTATAAGAATAAACGTTTAATTGGAATATTTTTTTTTACTTTAGAACAATTATCTGTATATTAACAAACCTGTGTAATTAGTAAAATATAACAAAAACCGTGTATATGATGACAATATGCTCCATTGGAATATATTTTATATAATTTTAATTACCTTTCTTATAACTATAAAATTTATCTACGTTAGCACTGCAGTCATTCATAAAAAATATTCGTGAAAATATTAAATATTCAAGATGCGACAAGAATACTTATAAACGAAGTAAAGTAAATATATCGATATTAAAATATTAAAGCATCTAGACAACGAGCGATTAGAACAAAACGTTGCACAAAGTGCTCGGAAACATGTTGCACCAGTGCGAACGCCCACATTACAGATAACCTACGCATTGCATGTACAATAGATATTAATAGCAACAATCAACTAAAATTATAAAAATATACTTAACGTAAATATAAAAAAAGTAAAATAATTCAGCGATGCTAAATTTACATTATCTTACATATAAATGGTGAAAACAATGAAAATGTAGATCAGGAACACAGGGGTGGAGTTAGGGATGACCGTTGACTGAATACTTCGACATTCATGCAGCTAAAAATCGACGTCACAACAATTAATCTAACCGATTCAATACAACACTCATACATTTATTAATTTAAAAATTTCGTAATAATACATAGAAAAACATCAATTTTTTGGTACATCGATCACCCCTAGACGAGTCATCGTAAAGCCCGTAATAAAAGTGTACTTGTATTGTTGGTTCAATCTATTGATGTATCAATTCATCTTAACTAATCAATTCCTAGACTAAGCGCAGCGCGGCGCGGCGCAGCACGGCGCAGTGCGGCGCAACACGGTGCAGTGCGGCGCAGCACGGCGCAGCGTGGCGCAGTCCGGCGAGTCGCTCAATTATTTGCACTTGTACTGTTCCCAGCTTGCGGCGGCGGGCTCTGTGAAACACATTAGTTGTTTATCATAAATTACTTGAAATACACAGCACATGTAAATATATATTTACAAATATCTTGGAGATTCAAGGTCACTTTGGCTTCCCCCCCCCCGTTCAC